TCATTATGCTTTCTTGGCAGGGAATGGATTCCAGAGTCATTCTGTGACCTTTACATGACCTCCTTATTAGCATCTAAAAGCTTCCAGTGTAGGATGCAGCCAGCTAGGTTCTCTTCTAATGTAATAAAATCTGCTTCAGCAAAGCTTATGCAGAGCCATCTCCAGACTCCAGAAATCACAGGCTATAAATTACTGGATCTCCCATTTGATATAATGAAGTATAAGCATGGTCCTGAATGACTCCTCTACATACTACTCTGGGTGGCTTGCAGTGAATTTGATACAAGAACTGGAGAAAATGCAAAGCAGAGCTAGATCTAGGATTAATGTGCTTGGGCCCAGCTCCTCACTACTCACCTATGAGTACAGTTCCAGAACCCAAGTAGAGGGTGGGGAAACAAGGCCCCTGGCTTTTTTCCCTAATGTCTCCATCTCTTTCACATTTCTTATCTCCTTGCAAAGAAACTAAACAGGCTCGACTAAAATAATTAAATGATTAAACCCTATACAGAGAATCTCCAAAGAGTCACAAAATATCATTCAAGACTGTCACACAGACAACCTTGAGGATGACTTGATGTACCAGTGATCTAATATCATTCCAAATTCCCATCAAGGATCTGCCTATACCAACACAGGAGCCAAAGATCAACCATTCAAATGGGCCCTGCTGTCAAGCCTTTTTTATTTACAATGCCATCTCTTCATATTGTTCCGTTTAACAAAAATGCAGCCTGTCATCTACCCTTAAGTCCATTGGCCAATGGCACAGAGCCAGAGTATGCTATTCCCTAGCAGGAAATCAACAGGATGACCTACTAAATACCATTCAGAAGATGTTAAGACCCATGAATTGCAGCAGGAAAGAAAAGACAGATAACTAGTCAGCCAGGTACATGCTGTGCCAAAAATGCACTACAGCCCCCACCCAATTCTGCCTAACCCTAGAGCTGGGCTGACACCAACCTGATGAGACAGGCTTATAAGATCTCAAACTAAAACAGAAACTCCTGAACTGGGTTCTTGCAAACCCAGGAAGCAGCAGTAAACCATTAAAGAACAGATAAGTTCTTGAGGTGAGGGAGAGTTTCAGAAAAATGGAATGCTGGTAGAGCACAGGGCCCAAAGGAGCAAAAGTTAACCTAAGCCCAGGTAGAAACTTGTTTACTAGAGTATTAGGCATGGGTCGTGGCAACTATTCTAACCAGAGAAATTGGCTCCAGTGAGGGCGGGTTAGCAATCCAAAGTACGGCATGCATAAGGCTGGTGAAATTCAGGGTGATTGAAACAAAAGCTTCAGAACCAGAAAGACCACATCTGGGGGTAGAGCACAAAACTCTCAAGAGATGAATCTTTGTAAGAGTGAGGCAGAACTACATAGCAGTTTTAGGAGATCTGTTAGTGCTCAGCAAGAGCTCCAAACGAGCTATATGCAAAGATGCAGGCTGTAGTCTCAGGAGAGGAGGTTCACAAGTCATTCAGTCCAAGATCCCAAACTGTGTTCTCTACTAAAAGGAATCAAGTCCCCCTAGAGAAATGGCTGACTCCATGTACAGTACAGTATATTGATCCAAACATCTTTTTGGCCAGAAAGCAAGGAAGCCATCAAAGTCTAACAGGATCATGTCAAAAAGACAGGAGAGTCAACTTGAAGAGATAATTATTAACCTAGATGAGACAATGTAAGCATCCAAAACAATAAAGACTGCAATGGCCTGAAATACATCAAATGCAAACAATAATCTATGAGTTCACAATGGTATTCAGAAAAAAACTATTGGTCACTAGAGGGAAGGTTATTAGGTTACTAACTTACTACTCTGAAAAGTGACTTAAAATGAGAGGTAGGGTGGAGAATTAGCTATTTATTCAGTTTTTCCCTTACAAACATACATTTTTAGGGGGATTGAAGAAGATGAAACAAATCTAAAAAAAAATGGAGGTAACTGCTTAATCTGCGGATTGGGTACATGGAGGTTCATCATATTTCTTTTGTGCATATTTAAACCCCCTCCAAAAAAAGCACAAGACAGAATGTGAGCCAAGCAGCTTAGGGTTTAGGCAAGGCTTCTGCCTACAAGAGACACTAGGATATGAGGGGTAGTTTTAGCCCCGATGGGCTGAGCCAACTGGAGGTACATAGCGGGTACTAAATTGCAGAGGTATCATGTTGCCCAGCACTTGATCGAATCCTAGATGCTAGGACTGTTTGGCAGCATGCTTCCTAGGTAGTGGATCTGAGGCTACCTATAGAACTTCCGTTGCAGTCATAATTCGCTCAGAAACTACAAAAGGGCTTGCTCTTGAAAATGAAGTCTGTCTTTGTCTATTTCATGCTGCTATAAAAGAATGCCACAGACTGCATAATTTATACAAAGAAAAACAGGAATGAAGGAAAAAAAAGGAAGGAAGGAGGGAAGGAGAGAAAAAGGGAAGGAGGGAAGGAAAGGAAGGAATGGAAGGAAGGAAAGGAAGGGAAGGGAAGGAAGGGAAGAAAGGAAGGGAAGGAAGGGAAAGAGGGAAGGAGGAAGGGAGAGAAGGAGGCAGGGAGAGAGAGAGAGTGGGAGGGGAAGGGAAGAGAAGGGAGGAGAAGGGAAGAGAGGAAGAAAAGGGAGGAGAAGGGAAAGGAGGAAGGAAAGGAAAGGAAAGGAAAGGAAAGGAAAGGAAAGGAAAGGAAAGGAAAGGAAAGGGAAGGGAAGGAAAGGAAAGGAAAGGAAATTTATTTCTTACAGTTCTGGATGCTAGAAATTCCAAGGTTGAGGGGACTGCATCTGGTAAGGGTCTTCTTGCTGCATCATCCCACGACAAAAGGCAGAAGGAAAAGAGACTGCAAGAAAGCAAGACAGCAAAAGGGGCTAAACTCTCTTTTATAATAAACCCACTCTGTGATTACTTATCTATTACCACAATAACAACATTAACTCATTCATGAGGGCTCTCTTATTAGGCCCCACATCCCAACTGTTGCATTGAGGATTGAGTTTCCAGCACATAAACTTTGGAGAATGTATTTAAACCACAGCAGAGCACTTACGTAAATTCAACCAAGTGGAGCTGGGAAAATCAAAGGCATGAGAAAGATAGCAAAGGCTAGCAGAGAAATATGCTCAGGTAAGGAAAAAAGTCACAATGAATCCAGTAGTGCAGGCTACTTTATCAAAAGCACCTAAAAAAGATCTCATTAACTGCCCCAACTCACTTCCACCCACATCTAAATGGCCACACACAGCACCACCAAAGGCAGCACAATGAGAACAGCATTCTCAACAGACGAGCTGTGAGTATCCATATACCCGACTCAACAGCTCCAGAACAGCCCTAAAACAGCTCCTCCCTAACCACCACTCAAGTCACCAGCTGGGAAACTATCCAGAAAATCCAAATCCTGACACACCACTACCAAACAACTTAAACAGCAAAGAACAACCCATTTAAACAGCAATGCCAGCTGCCAGGAAAAAAAGGAACAATGAGTAGAGGAAAAGCAGACCTCTTGGGGTCTACCAAGATCCAGTCTCTCAGCTTTAGCACTTTCAAATGCAGAATTCATACACCTCTGGGGCCTGTGGAGCTCCACAAGGCATGTTGTCCTCAAAGATAAACAAGCAGGCAAGCTGGCTAGAAAACCGCTAAGGGTATTATTCTTTAAAGAACCTTTATAGGGTCAAAAAGGAATGGGTCTTACAAGCTATGTGTATTCCCCACAGATTCTGAGGATGATGTCAGTATCCCTTTCCAGATGTGTTTAACACTTTGCGGTCACTTGTATTCCTGCCACTGAGTGCCAGTGCTTTGCTAATTTGCACTGATGCTAGCTCACGCTGACCCTGGCTCCCTCGATCTGGTTACCATTAGCCAAGACTGTCATCCATACTGTACCCTTTCAAAGAATCCTAAAAACAGCTCTTCACCTACTCTTCCAAGACAAGTAAAAATGTCTGCCAAAGAAATGAGGAAAAAAGATTCAGAGAGAAAAAACAATTAACATACTAACAAGAGAGCAAAAAGCGAAGGGGGAGGAGAAACTAGGAAAATCATATATGGGCTCACACCTATATCCAAAGCGGGCTAATATTCTTTTGCTTATGTCTGAATAAGGCACCAATTTTAAGCTGCTAATGAAAAAAAAGAAAAAGAGAAGCAGGCCCAGGCCAGGCACGGTGGCTCACGTCTGTAATCCCAGCACTTTGGGAGGCCAAGGCAGGTGGATCACCCAAGGTCAGGAGTTCGAGACCATCCTCGTCAACCTGGTGAAACACCATCTCTACTAAAAATACAAAAAATTAGCTAGGCATGGTGGCGCATGCCTGTAAACCCAGCTACTCAGGAGGCTGAGGCAGGAGAATTGCTTGAACCTGGAAGGCAGAGAATGTGGTGACTTGAGATCATGCCATCACCCTTAAGCCAGGGCAATGAGAGCAAAATTCAGTCTTAAAAACAAAACAAAACAAAACCAAAAAAAACATAAAATAACTCAGACTTAATTAAATACAACCCTAGTGGTATGACTATTGGTCAACAATAAAAAAGATGGATTACTCAGAACAGAGATACAGACGTCCTGTACAGAATCCCAAGATCTTACCTTCATTAACGAAAGACAAATCCTTTCCTTAAAAGTAATACCTCAAGGCCAGGAATACTCCATCTAGTAGAACAGCCCCTCTTAAAAACAAAGACCTTTCTGGCTTCAGGCATGGGTCACGCTTAATTCCCAGCACTTTGAGGCTGGAGGCGAGGAAGATCCAACCTGAGGTCAGGAGTTCAAGACCGGCCTGGCCCAACATGGCGAAACCCCATCTCCACTAAAAATAAAAAATTGCCTGGCGATGGTGGGGCACCCTAGTATCCCACAACTTGGGAGCTAAGGCAGGAGAATCGCTTGAACCCAGGAGGCAAGAGTTGCAGTGAGCCAAGGTGGCACATTGCACTCCGCCTGCGACAAGAGTGAAACTCCATCTCAAAAAAAGAAAAAAAAAAAAAAAATTTCCTTTGGAAGGCTTCTACATAAAAAATCTTCAACCATGAACTGGAAAAAAGGGTATGGGATCATCACTGGACCTTGGCTTTTACAGCTCGAACTATAAGGACAAAAAGAAAAAGGGATATCATTTAAACACAATATATAGAAAAGAATAGTTACTGAATCTGTATTGGTCTTTAACTTTTACATTTTGATCTTTAATTCTGTTATTGTAATTGAGTCCAAAGAAAAATAGTATGAGTAAAACAAAAAGAACACCAAAAATGCTAATATTCTGTTTATCAAAGTCTGTAGTGAAATATCCCATTAAATCCAAGTGCAGTGACTCACACCCATAATCCCAGCACTTTGGGAGGCTGAGGCGGGTGAATCTCCTGAGGTCAGGAGTTCGAGGCCAGTCTGGCCAAAATGGTGAAACGCCAACTCTACGACAAATACAAAAATGAGGCAGCCGTGGTGGCAGGGGTCTGTAATCCCAGCTACTTAGGAGGCTGAGGCAGGGAGAATTGCTTGAACCCAGGAGGTAAGGTTGCCATGAGCTGAGATCGTACCACTGCACTCCAGCATGGGTGATAGAACAAAACTCCATCTTAAAAAACAAAAAACAAAAAACAGCTAGCAGGTGACATAGGTGACATTTGCTATGGGGAGACTAGGGATATGATCTTGCTGCAATCTTTCCATTTTATTAAATCTAAACAGTGTGATTCCATTCTGTTTTATCCCCACTCCACTCCAGAGCCAAAACAAGAAAATCAATTATTTCTATTTCTTTAAAAACATATCTAACTAAGTCATCTAATTAAAATATAATATGCACGGCTCCATACTCTAAAAGAAAACTTGTTATGTCCTGCATATCATGGACATTTGATGAATGCTTGTTCAGTGGACTGGTGTAGACTTCAATAATAACCTGTTCAATGCATTATGCCAGATAAATCTGGCATGTCAAAAGTAGGACAAATATTGTTCTTTCAGTTTTGTCTACCTATAAGTGCAATATTTACATGTATTTATAACGGGTTAATAAAAAGAAAATGAGTTTCTTATTCTAAAGAGTATGAGAATTTTGACAACATGAATTCTCCTGTCCGAGGACATAATTAATACTCAGAGGCATATTACGTCATGTGGAAGCCACCATGAAAAGAAATCAATGTTACGCGTTAATTACTTCACATAATCTTCTAATCTGACTTAAGACTGAAAACGTACCTCACGAAGCTGATTTATCAAGTTGTAAATCTTCACCTGTTGAATTCATAAGTTCATGTCTGAAAGGTGACAATAAATACTTAATATTCACTAGTCAATATTCAGTAAAGTAATATCCACCAGTAATCATGTTGTGTTGTATGTGTTATTGTGTGTTGTCTGCATCTCATAATTGTTATAGTTGATAGTTTTAGTTTACAAGTAAATAGATCATTAAAATAAATACAGTAAAAACATTGATGTTTTGCATGGTTGTTGCTCTTTGTTGTGTGCATTTGTTTGTTGTGTGTTAATAACAACAGCTGTGTGTTGTTTCTCATTACTATAAAGGGTGGGCTTCAGATTTAGATTGTGTGGGTGATGATGTGTGTGTATTTCAATTCTCATGATGCAATTCAAGTATAAAAGTAGAGACAATTAGGGGCACCTTGTGTGGATCTGAACTTCTTTATTATAATTTATTTATTTTGAGAGGCGATTTTGCTCTGTGTGTGTAGTGCAATTGGTGAACTCATGCTTACTACCAACCTGTGTTCTCTGTGTTCAGTTGATGTGTTGTCTTCAGCCTCCTGAATAGCTGTGATTTACAGACATGTGCACCATTGGCCTGTCATGTATTTTTAGTTAGAGACAGGTAGTTTCTCATGTGGTCAGGCTGTGTATTGTGTTGTTTTATCTGTTTTACTCGAACTTCCCAAAGCGCTGATCTTACGGCATGACTTACACGTCCCATGGATGAAATTGCCAATTTACAAAGCGACTAAGAGAAATAATTCTTTTTTTAAAAAGCAATATTTTGTGCAGGGATTGGTGTTTGCTCAATGTGTGTTCCTTTTTTTGGGATGCTGAGATGGAGATCATGGAGGGTCAGGAGTTCAGGGCACCAGCCTAGCCAGTTCTGTGGAATCCCCGTCTTTACTTAAAAAATACATATTTTGTTAGGCCAGGCATGTTGGCTACACCTGTAATCCCAGCTGCTTGGGAGGCTGAGGCAGAGAACTGCTTGAACTCGGGAGGCGGAGGTTGTGGGAGCTGAAAGATCACGCCACTGCACTCCAGCTGGGGACCAGCAAGACTCCGGTCTCAAAAAAAAAAAAAAAAAAATTCAATGAAATCCTAAGATCGGGCTTTCCATAAATATGTAATCAATTCCCAATCCTCCAGGTTGAGGTTAAAAGAAATGATAACAAT